TATATATATACACACATATTAGTGTGTGGGTGTGTACGTGTATTTTTTCCTAGTTCAGTCTTACGAAAGATCCAAGAAGCAGAGACACTTCATTAGCATAAGCATACCTAGCCTTGGTCTCTAATACCATTCTGCACTAACAGGAAACAGGGCTCCTTAGAGAAAAGGCTAATTCCAGGGCTGGAGCAGAGTTAAAGACAAGATAAACATGGAACATCTTATTATATCAGAAAGTAAGGAAGTGCTCAAAAAAAAAAAAAAAATGATGTAGGCATATCACATAGACATAGTACCCAAACTAAAGGTGCTCCCACTAGCTTAATCTGGGACAATTTAAACACCAAAATAATTAAATACAGACTCAAATATTTAGAAGTGAAAGATCATGATGTAACTTACCTTCAAGTGATCCAGAAAAAAAGTATACAAAATATACACATATAAATAAATATAGGTAAAACTCAAGAAAACAAAGCAAATACAGGATGGAAAAATAGGAACTCCTAAGTTAATGCAGATAATAAATAGACAAATAGAGTTGAAAGGGCTCTTTGTTCACAGAATGCTATGGGCTGACTGGTAGATGTGGAGAGAGCATTAGATTTGTTGACTCATTTTGCAACCATTATGGTAAAATTATATCAGCAACAGTTGATTCTAAATTTAAATGGGAATTTTGATGATGAGCAGGATGCATCTTCAAATATTTCCCCACAATTTGCTTTTTAATTGCCAGGAAGAAAAAAAACAAAACCCAGAGTAACTATAGAATGGAAAATTCGGGCCACATATGGATCGGGTGATCAAAACTAATTATTATCAATGAGGGAAAGATGGATATCATGTGCTTCTAAAAGTGATCACCTGTGCAGCAGTCCAGTTGAGAATATATATATAACCCCAATTTAATCATGAGGGAACATCAGACAAAAACAAAATAAGGAATGTTTTATTTAAAAGAGGGGTGGAGTGAGAAGCTATATTCTTTAAAAATGTCAAGGTCAGGGGTGCCTGGGTGGCTTAGTAGGTTGAGCATCCAACTTCGGCTCAGGTTCATGATCTCAACATTTGCAGTTCATGAGTTCCAGCCCAGCATCAGGCTCAGAGCCTGGAGCTTGCTTCTGGTTCTGTGTCTCCTGCCCTCTCTACCCCTCCCCCACTTGCTCTCTGTTTCTCTCTCTCAAAAATAAATAAACATTAAAAAAAAAATTTTTGGGGGGCGCCTGGGTGGCGCAGTCGGTTAAGCGTCCGACTTCAGCCAGGTCACGATCTCGCGGTCTGTGATTTCGAGCCCCGCGTCAGGCTCTGGGCTGATGGCTCAGAGCCTGGAGCCTGTTTCCGATTCTGTGTCTCCCTCTCTCTCTCTGCCCCTCCCCCGTTCATGCTCTGTCTCTCTCTGTCCCAAAAATAAATAAACGTTGAAAAAAAAATTTAAAAAAAAAAAAATTTTTTTTTTAATGTCAAGGTAATAAAAGATAAAGGCTGGAAATGTTCCAAAGTAAAGGAAGCTAAAGAGTCATGACAACTAAATGTAGTACCTGACACCAGTCTGGCTCCTATACTAGAGGGGGAAAAGCTACAAGGATCAACCTACAAAATTGGAATATGGAGGTAGATTGAAGTATTAGTTCAATGTAAGACTATCAAGTATTCATGGGTTACAGGTCAGAATGTATGTAAATTAACCTAAAATGGTTCAGAAAAAAATTGTATATAAATATACATGTATGAGGTGAGAGAGATTTTGCACAAGAGCAAGCAGATGATAAGGATGTTCTATAAATTATTTTTATTTTTGAACTTTTTGTAAATTTAAAATTATTTCTAAGTAAAAAGATTTTTTAAAAATTAAGTCCACCTTAGAGAAACAAGACCAACAGGAAAATAAATGTTACTTTAAGACCCATCTAAGCAAATTGTTTTTAAAACATTCTCCAGTGTATACTAAATTTTCAAGTTATTGTTCAAAATGTTTTCAAGTCTTCATTCTTTTGTAAAAGATGAAAAGACCTATAGCTTTCACAGTTTTATCTAAATAAGTTAATATGTTGAAGCCAACATTCCATCAGTTGTAGCTTTCTTATTACAAACAGCAGGAGGGAAAGAAAGCATTGAAATTACAAAACCTCTGTTCTCCACATTACCCACATTTACCATTCGTTTGCTGGTGATTGCATTCCAGTTTCCAAGTAAAACCTCAGATTTTAAATTATGACTTCAGTTCTACTGTTATGACAAGTAAAGAGTATGCAGAGACTCAAATGAGGTCTGTGGAAAGGAGTGGGGTAGGGCTGATTAACTCTTCATCATATTGAAGATGAAAAACTGAAAACTTCTACCCTAATTGAGTACCTAAATAACTTCTTTATTTTCATAAAGTACATCACTATGTGGAGTATTAAAGTTTGGAGAAAGTATTCTTATTAGTTTTTACCTCTGAATTTGATGATCTGATGTAAAAACACTTTCTTTTTTTTTTTTTTCCTTTAAAATTCAACTCAATTATTTGCACCCCCTTGTGGTCAAACATAAAATTCGTCGTTTTCAAAACATCTTCCAATTGGGCTTTTTGTTCAGGCATAGGAACCATGTTACTAGACTTTGTTTTCCTCCGGTTTTGGTGAATTGAGATTATGAAGGGTTTTTGGTTTATGAAATAGTATTTTAAACAAAACAGGACTTAAATCTTCTAAAAGTGACCTCTATATAAACTTCAGTCTGGGCAAAATGGAGATAATTGCACCAACCTCAAAGGTTACTGTGAGGATTCAAGGGGAAAGTGCATATACTTGCTTAGCTGACACACAGTAGGTGCTCAGTAAATGTTATTTACCAACATCATCACTTTAGAATTCTCTTGACAGACTATATCGTAAAGGGGCTTAGGTAAAAAATTTACCAGTTCATGCAGTTCAAGTACAATTGTTCCTTAAAGATACCACTTATCCAGACTTACGTCTGGCTGATTCTCGCCACAGATATGGTATATTTTTAAAGAACAAAGAATATATACTTATCTCTGGATGACAGAAATTTGGGTAGTTTTTACTTTATATTTTAGACTGGCCTCATTTTGCTCTTCCCCCCTCCTTAATTTTAATAATAAGAAAAAGCAATAAAACTATTCCACTTCCATATGATACTCTTAATGATAAATTGACATCCTTATTCATCTGGCAGAGACTGTTACTCATATTTGGCAAAAATAATTTGTCAGGCTACTTTATCATATTAAGGAGCTTTTGATCACAAATGTTTAACTCCTATTGGCACTAGCTTAGCTTTTTAAGACATAAGAACCTATTTTAAAAGATTAGTGTTAATGACTGACAACAATAGCTAACATTTACTAATATACCAACCGCTGTTAAAATGCACTTACTATATTACCACATTTACATCCATACAACCCAATGAGATAATAGCATTACACCTTTTATAGAAGATAAAATTGAGAAAAAGTAACTTATAAAGCTAATAAGTAGCAAGGCTGAGATCCAAATCCAGGCAGTTTAGTTCCAGAGTCCACCCACTTAACCAGTGCACAGAAGTACCAGAGATGTAAAACTAACATACTACCTTGCAACATTACTTCTTGATCTCAAATTATTAAAATCCACTTCTTTTCTAATTGTACCTCAATAATGCAAATCATGCTAGCCTTCTCCCATTTCCCTACTTCTTAGTACTTCAGGCACTTTCAATATCCATCATCTTCTTTAACCCTCGCAATGATATATGTATGTTTTTGTATACTCCTACAGTTACTTACGGTTTATCACAAGTTGTTTTGCAACAGAAACTGGAAAAAAAATGTAGCAATACCCCAGCTTTTAGACTGTTGGGATTCTTTAGAAAGCTTATTATCACTTGGGATCAGGAAAAAATTAACCAGTCAAAAATAATCTTAAAATGTAACAATATAGGATCAATGGCAGTTGTTTTGTTTTCATTTTCATCTTAACTAGCTTGGTGGCGGGTAGGATAACTCTCCCAAGCATATGAATGCTTAAAAGAGGTTTCTAAGGAAGGTGTTAAAATATTGACAACTTTATCATCAATTATTGCTATCTTAGCGTCCAGTTTGGGGACGTGGGCACAGATTTGTCTACGTTTTGTGCCTCTTTCTACTTACTAGTTCTAAGATTTAGGGGCAAATCTCTTAATCTGAGTCTCGAGTGCCCTCATGTATAAAATGACAATAATACCTATATAACAGGACTGTTTTTAGGGGCAAACACGATCAATCCGTAAATCGTTTATTTAGCTCCGTGCCAAGCCAGAGTACAAAGTACAGTACCACAGTGTACGTGGTATCTAGCTATTATTACTTTATTAACGTGCCGCACAATGGAAACCCGTCTTCGATAGTTTCAGTTCCTTTACCACCCTTTAAAAAAAAAATCACCCTAAGTGATACCCAAAGACTACCCATTCACCTCCCCAAAACAGAGCAGAATGTTTAGGAACATGTGAGACGGTGAGAAACTGGACTCGATGAAAGCGCCTTCGAAACAGCCTAGAATCGAGAAGGGCTACAACACACTTAAGTAATCCTTCACTCCAGAGCACACGCACACCACACACACACACACACACACACACACACACACACACAAAGTTGTTGAGGAGGGGAAACCACGCCTCCTGTGTGTGCTCAGGTTGGATCGCACAGCAAGAAACAGAGTGCCCCAAGTTCCAGAATCTGACAGATGCGGACTCATCCACGTGCTTGCAACCTGTGCCTCCTTGGGCAAATTACTTAAATTCTCTGAGCCTTGCTTTCCTGGTCTGCAAACCGATAATAATAATAGTACCTACCTCATGAAGTTGTTCTGAGGCTTAAGTGCAATAGCTCCTGCAAAGCGTTGACATACAGCAAGTGCTCTACACACAGGCGGGGCTGTTTTAAGTACACGTGTATCCATACACAGGGTCTCAGAGACACAGTCCGTTGTTAGTTTAGACACTGGCAATAAAACGTTTTTCTTTTCGTCTAGGCTGCACCCTTATTTGTTTTCCTCGAACAGTAAAATAATGCCGATCGACTGACAAGTCATCTATGGACCCTCGGGCCCACAGTCCCCACAGTTCCTCCACGTCCGCGGCTGAGCAAAGAAGCTGCACGCACGCGCAAGAAACGAGGTCGGAGGAGAGACTGAGGAAGCAAAGTGCGAGCGGCGAACAGCGACGATTCTGCGCATGTACAAGGCGCGGAGGTTGGGGTAGGAGTTTGCGCATGAGCAGAAGTGTCGGGAAAGCTAGAGAAGGGTTAGGAGGCGGTATTGACAGCTGTGGAGGCAGCCCGCGTTCCCGGCATGCCCCGGGGCGGCGGGGTTGGCTCTAACGAATTTGAATGAGGAGCCTCAGCGCTTTCGGCGCCATTTTCGAGTGATGCCTGATCTCATCAATCTAGCGGGAGAGACGGGATAACCTGTCCGAGATTATAGCGCCGCTAGGACTCCGCCGAAAAATCACTTAAAAAATTGCCAAAAATTACTTCGTGCAAAGGGCAGCCCGCAGAGCTTGACCAGGGTTGGCGCAGACGGTAAGAACCTGAAGAAGTAACAGCGGGACCTGGGAGGTGGCAGTGGGGGACCGTCAGGCGATGGGGGGGGGGGGGTGCAGCGAGTGGGCACTGGGTCCGCCCTCATTTTAATTGCTAAAAATGAGAGGAGATGGGGTTGGGGGTAATTGAGTGTCTGCGAGTGGGCGGCGGCGGGCGGAATGTGGCGGGAGCGCGGAGAGACGGGGGGTGTGGGGGGAGGGGAGTTGCAGTTTGAGCGGGACTCTGACGGGCTGCGGCGGAGCAGCCGCCGCCCAACAGATCTGTCAGCGGGACCCCCCGCCCGGGGCCGGGCTCGGGGCGCGGCGGGGCTCCGCAGGCCGGGGCTTCTTGACAGGAGAGGGGCGAGCGTCCCCTCCCCCATTTGCCAAACCGAGCGGTATTTAATCGCAGTTTTCCCGGCCCGCTGACGGCCGTCTTCTCGTGACATGAAACTTAAGATCTACGGAAAATTAAGGACCGAGAGTCTAGTGGGTGCCTCCAGTCCGTCGTGCGGACCTGCTGTCCGCGGGACCCAGCACTGTATATTGTGTTAGACGCTGAAGCGTGAGGTGCCCTCGGAATGTGGGTTTCACAACGTAGCCCTACGGCTTTGCGCTCCTCGGTCCCGGCAGGAGTAACCCTGACGGTGTCTGGCTTTTCCAATTTGGGCAAGATAGGGCGGGGGCAGACTTTTGAGGTTTCAGCGGGCTCCTAGGGAAGATGCTGAACTTTCGCTTTTTGCTCGGGATTTTTGTCCTTTGCTCTCACGGTGGTGTTTTTTCTGGGGGGGGGGAGGGGGTGAAAGATAGGGTTTGGAGCTTGCAATTTCCTTCTCCCAGTTGCACTTTTCTTAGAAGACTCCTCCGATCTCTGAAACATGTCTCAGGGAAAAAAGCAATCTGTGAAACTGTATTGATGTTTTCCTCACGAAAAAGTCTTAGCCCGGACAGCTTAACGGTAATTTTGCGATCTCCACCTTTTCTCGGGAACTCTCTTGACTGAGGCGGAGGGAAGAGGACTGTTATTTGTCTTTCCCTTTAGTGATTTTTTTTTTTTTTTACGTCGTAGTTTCTACCAATTCTTAGTCGGTAACTCTTGAATGATTTGAGCCAGTTACGGTTTTAAGCAGTACTTTATAAATAATGGCCTTCGTAAAAATTATTCATTAAAGATCTGTTAGGTTTTGAGTCTTTTTCTGCGCTGAAGGCACCGCTGATTAACCCTTTGCCGGTGTGTTTTGCATGTGGGGCGCGCGGCTCTGGGTTGCGAATATGCAGGAGATGGGTTTTGCAGCAGCTATTCAATTGTTCGCGAAGAGGAAAAACGCTTTCTGGGAACCGCACTCACACACTCTTTAGGACCACCTGCCTGAAGAGTTTTTCCCCCTGGAATTGATGTAGCGATTGATTGATTTCTTATTTCTGTAAAGACTGGAGGACCCGCCCTCACTTAGAATCTGTCCCCGAGGAGAATAGGAGAGCGCAATGTGATGTTTTTCAAATTGTGTCTAACGGAGCTCCCAAAACACCGGACTTGTTACCCCCTGATTGGCTGGAAGGGAGCGGGACTAGGGGGTTTGAAAGTTGAACACTAGATTGTGATTCTCGACTTTGAGAAAAATACTTTTAGAGAACCACGGAAATAGTTAGGAAACGTTAAGACGGGGAGTTTGGGGGGCGGGGGGGGGGAAGCTGGTGTTTAGTATTTTTTTCTTCCATAAAGGACTTTCGAACAGTTCTGAAATGTGTATTAAAAGTAAAACTGAGGATGCAGTTTTCGCAAAAATTGTAATTCTGTTGGCTGAAATTGCAAGACTTTTATGTGTTTGCCCCTGTTATCTGTTGGTTAAAAACTGACTGTAGGATCTAGGGTTTTTATTTCATTGGCAGAAAATTTTCAACTTAAGCTACACATTTCGATGCAGATTTCGGGAGAATTGTTTCTTTTATTTTGATGATAAGAAACTTAAAATTTCTGAGGAATGAGCCTCCCCACATTGCCCATAAAAATTGTATGTATTTAAATTTATTTTCCACATCTAACTTAAAACACATGGGTTTTGCAAATTCAGCCATTGGTGTGGACTTAAAACTTTATTAACAAGAAATTTACGTTGCTTAATTTAGACAATACAACAGGTAAGTATGCACAGGTGCTTATGTATGATTTCATTCCTTTGATAAATTCACTGTGAAGAAATACATCGCATACACCATTGTGGGTGTGTTGTGTCTTACTTGGTTGGTTTTCAGTTCATTTTTTGTTTAATGTTGGTTGAGACAGCCGTCAATATATTTCTATTTATTACCAAGCTTGTCATTCCGTTTAATTGCATCTTGATAAAAGGCGGGTGTGGTTTTCAAAGCAAATCGGTGAAGTCAGTGATAAACAAGATAGCTGTAGATACTTTTTAAAAGATTTTTTAATTTAATAGAAATTAATGTTCTTTTATGAATAGCAGTTGAAATTTTGAAACTTTGTATTCTAACATTAGGTCAAATATACATTGTTAGAAAATATTCAAATGAAAAGATCCCACGACTTTTAAAATCTCTGTAGGGTTATAAATATAATTTATATTGAGTGAAATAGCTGAGTTTATAAATAATGCTATTTTGTATTGCCTTCATAACAAGAATTGCAATTGTGGAATCTTTGTTCATTACCTTTTTTCAAAGCTGTTTATTTTGAATCATCTCATGAAAATTTCATGAAAGGTGCTAATTATCCTCTCTATAAAATTTGACTTAATGAAGTTGTAGGAGACCTCATTTCTGTTTTAAGTGTAATTTTACCTATGATACAGAACTATCAGGTTTTGTTTTTTTTACTGTTATTTTGGGTTTGGGGTTTTAATTTTCATTCAGATTATTATGTGACTTGGAGAGTTTTGAGGGTGGGGTAAGAGAGGGCTTTAAATTCCACCAGGCGGGTTAAACTTAACCATACTTTTTTAGTGCTTTGGTTTATGAGGGTTTTTGTTTGTTTTAAGGAGTGATGGTGAAGAATTGTTTTATTTAATAAGCCATTTTTTAAAGAAGTGAAGGATTCCTTTATTTAAAATACTACACTTAAAGCTTGAGAATGTACTAGCACCTAAATAAAAATGACAGCATTTAAAATATTTTCTCTTTTTATGTGATGGGTTTTTAGATTTGTGGCCATGTAGGTATGAGTTCCAACATGTATATTATTATTACGTATAGTATCCATATTTCTCTGTAGAAATTGATAATTCTCATTTTCTATTGTAAGGACTAGAAAAGTCATTTATTCCCTCTGGAAAACAATGGTGGGTAAAGGTGTTGCCAGTAGCTCTACTCTTTTTAAAGCTATGTTTATATAACATGGGGGAGAGGGAACTAGAGAAGGTAAGGTGTCAGTCTTCCTGGTAGCATTGATATTCATTTGTTTGCCTTTCAATTTTTTTTAAAACTCCAAATAAAAGTGCAATTTTAGACTTTGCTTTAATGCTATTAACTTGCCTTAGTTGTACATTTACAAAATGTAACCTCCAGTGTTTGCAAGTAACACTACATTTTTTCTAATCAGATTAATATCACTTTTTAATGTTACCAAAAACTGGAACCAAGGATGAAAATTTCACAATAGCTTTCATATTCTGGATCCCTTGTTTCATCATGTTTTGTGTACTACATTTTTGTTTTTTGTTTGTGAAGACATGTATATTTTTATTTCTGTTTATTGGCATGCAGTAACAATATACTTCAATATTGGTCAGTTAATAAGATTTACAAGAAAAAAAAAATGCCCAGAGACTGTACTGGGTATTTCTTCTATGTGATACATAAGCTTTCTCCAATTAAAAAAAATCAATTAAATACACTATTTTGAAGTTTTATTGTATAAAAATTTGTCTCTCATTTTAAAAAATTTCACTGGCCTAAAATTGGCTTTTTTCTTTTTTCCTTTTGTTTAGTGAAACTTAATAATTCCCACATTGATTTCTTTTTAACCCTTTTTTAGAAGAAACAGGTTATTGGTCTGATTATGACTAGAAAACACATTTTAGAAAGAACTGTCATGCCAGAGTGTTCATGTACATGTAGTTTTGTTATTTCTTACTGTTACTAATTTTTATTTAGCAAACTTAGAAACACTGTGGCCAGGCAACTAATTTGGCATGTAATTAGACTCAAACTATGACTTGATGAAATTTGGTAGCCCCACATCTCTTAAGACCAAAGGAAATCAATAATAAACTACCACTTTCAAGTAAGTGTCAAAAATTAGATTAAGTCATTTTTGCTAGTGATAGTATTAGACTTTAAAGTCATGGTCTTAATAAGAGTAGTATCACTTTTAGAATTTCACGTTACTAATAAATGTTTATATGTTTGATTATTTGCATATACAAATGACTGTAGAGCCTTCCTATAAATATTGCTTTCTTATAGGGAAATGATTTTCCTTTGCCTTTTTCCTCCCCAGTGTCTGTCTTAGAGATGCTTTAAAGGATCTCCTTTTAGAAAGAAAAGTTTCAAATATGAACTGATATTAAGTATACATATTAATTTTATTTTTAATATTTTTTATCTAATTATGAGAAGTTTAATATACTTTTTTTATTACTTTCATATTTCACTAAAAAGTCTTTGCCCTGGAAAAATTTTGCACTGGGTTTTAAGTGTAAATAACTACTTTGTAATATGTTTGACATTGAGTTGTACTAGTTTGGGGGGGCTACATCTTTTTTTTCTTATCATACACATTTGGTTTAATATTTGTCTTCGATCCAAACCTCTTTTGTTCTTTATTGTCTAGTATTTGTTGTTTCCCCACTATTTAAAAACTTTTGGCATGGAGTACATAATGGTTTCTATTTTCTTTCTGTGATTTTTAAAGTTGTGACACCTTAATTTTCAGAGTGCTCAAATATAGAAAACTTTGTCTAGATCTTTTGAGAAGGACTATGTAGAAATGATTTTAATGTTTCAAAATGTCATGGTTTTTGGGTTGATGTTTGTGAGTTACATATGTGTGCTATTTGTTGTTAAATATTTGGCGGCAGAGGAATAAAGGTTTTTTGGTTCTCATTTCTTTTCCTAAGCTATTCTTAAATAACAGTAGAAAACTGAACTCGTTAACATACCGTACGGTATAAACCTATGGTAATTTAACAACTTTATATTGTTACATAATTGCCATTAAATCATTAAGATTCAAGTGAAACAAATGAAGAAGCCACTTCTATACATTTGGTTACACCATCTACCTGGAAATATTAAAAAACCATTGGCCCAATAGTCATCCACTTGTTACTTATAAATATTTTAATTTATTTAAAAAGTTAATTCTAAATTTTTTTTCTGTTAGAACTGTAATGTCTTAAAATATTTGGAAATATCAGTATAATTGTTCACTTGGGCATGGCAAAAGACCAAACTTAAGAATAGTAATTTCTGTCATCATTAAAATGTTTGATAATTTGGGGAGAAAAGTAGTTAAAAATTTATCTCTGTCTCTTGAGTAGTTCTTTTAACTGTGGATTTTATGAGTTTTAGAAACACAAACTGTATTTCTGATATTTTCCTTATGGAGTCACCTTTACCAGTCCTCCAGCACTTACACACTTACACACACACACACACACACACACACACACACCTACCTTTGAAAATGAATGCCCTAAAGAGAAATGAAAGCAGAAACATATTAATCTGATTTGTTTGAAGAGGCTTCAGATGATAAAGCATATCACAGGTGTTTCTAATCAAGTTATTTCTGCTTAAAAAACATTATTTTCAAGTTAGGGTTTCTTTGAACACAGGCAAGATTGGGGTCATTTTGAAGATTTTTACCTTCGTGTTCAGGGATCAACTGTGGAACTGTAGGAGGCGGAAATCTGTTGAGTGTCTTCATGCTATAATACATGACATTTTTATTGCAGGTTTTGACCTTTAGGAGAGAGCCAATTCTGGAGAACAACCTAACTTCTCTGATTGAACACTCACATAATGCATTGGAACATGATAGGAGATTAAGGTATACTAATGAATTTTAAAAGCATACTATTTCATATCTTTGCAGTATAATTGGACTAGACCATTAGTAAAGCTAGAACTTTTAGGTGAGCTAAAACCAATAAAGATTTATTAATAGACAGAAATCTGTGAAGTGGTCAGGTAGGCTTCTCTTATTAAAACTCCACATTTTTTAATATAATTGCTATTCTCATCGACTTTTATTAGATCCAGTCCCAACTGAATTTATTCATTCTAAAAATAAGAATATATATAGTGATTTTTCTTTTTTTTTTTAAGGTTATTATACTGGTATATAAAGAAGAATTAAATAGTACACTTTTCATCTCATAAAATGAAAGGTTTAAATCAAATAGAATTTGGTGCTTGGCTGTTTGACAGGTATAATGATAGGTAGAGCCTATAAGTTTAGGTAAGATTAATGAGACTATTTTAAGAGAATTTAAAGTATTCCAGATACCATCCTAACCAAAAGTGGCATTTTGGTTGAAACTGAAAAACCCACTTTCTTAAGCAGAAACTAGTATCTTACTCATAGGTACTCTGAATAAAATAAATTGTTCATATCAAAAATTACAGACTATAAAAATGTAGAATGCCAAAACTTCCAGTGACTTAATTTTGCCTCCAAAATACTTTATCACAGAGCCACTTTTCTAGTATATTTTCTTTGATTTTTATAGTTTTTTGAAGGTTTCAGATACTTAGCTAATAAAAATTTTGATTGTTTTGTAACCAGTGACCTGGTATAATGAAAATGAACTTACTGAACAATATTACTAAGCATTGGTTAATTTTTGCATGGTAAAAATATTAATCACATGATAAAGTATTAACCCTAACGTATTTTTTAAAAAAGTATTTGCTAAAGTGAGGTTTACTAAAATAGAGCATAATATGAATTTTTCTTTAAATTTTTTTTCACCTAAAAATATTTACTTTATATGCTTACGATACAGGAGAGATAGCAAAGATTTGTTTTCCTAAGAAAAGTGTTAATTTTGTCTTATGAGTGAAGTGTAATTGTCATATAACTGCTTGTATCTTTAAATGTTCAGTTATTTTAAAGCAAATTCTCTAACGTGTGTTTGAACATTGAGATACGTAACAAAATATTTAAAATCTAATATTCAGCATTTATTATAAGATATTAGATAATCCAGGAATGTGAATCCATTAACAGTTAAAGCTAAATAAAATGTTAAAATTTAATAGAAATCAGTTTAATATAAGGGCAGAGTTCACATATTGATATCATTATACTGTAAGGTGTCACTATATACTGTTGGAGATAAATACAGGGTATTGAATGTCTTCATAGCTTAGATTTGAGAATGTTATAAATAAGCAGCTTAGTTTAAATAAGATGGAAATGAATACAATTTTTCCCCCTCTAACTTAGCCAGTGATTTTCAGATTAGAAAACATTAAGATGAAAAGTGAAAAATGTGGTTTCTGAATGTCTGAAAAATAAAAACAAATCCAGATTCAATTTATCAGTTTCAATCCAGATATCTTTGCACACAGCCTATTGTTAAATGGAGGAAGAGTGATAGCTTTTGAGTTGATATTTTAGATAAAGACATCAATCCCCAGAGTTTCTAATTTAGAGAGTTTATGATTTATGATCTTTTAAGTTGTCAAAACTTATTATTTGGACACAAACATTTAGCACCATAAAATCATCTCTCTATAACTCTATACTGGCTTATAAACTTCCAAATTTTTAGCTTAGTAAATAATCTAACATGTAAGAGATTTGGTGCAAATATTAATAGTTTTCTTGTATTTGGTCAGCTCTTACAGGATAAGAAACTTTAACCTAATTGGTAGTGTGTGTTATTTTAGAAGACAGGTTAATAAAGGCTTTTACTGCTATGTGTGATTGGCTATCCTTTACCCCTTAAAGGACATTTTCTACGGATTTTAAGTGTTTTAAATTTGCAAACCTGATTATCTATATCTAAGCCTTGGTAAGTACTTTATCATATCAGGATTTGGGGAAAAAGACTTACTGTGGTTTTTTTTCTCTGATACACTTCTTATTTGGACAGTGTTTATATTCTGGGTTAAATGCATTTTCCGGGTTAAAAAACATTCATTTTCAGGAAAAATTCTTAATTGTTCCTAAAATACAGTTATACTGTCAGTGTTCAAATTTTTTTGAAATAGTTATCCTTAGCAGGGAAAGAATATTAGGATAAACTAGAATAGAGAAAATTTAAAATGTCCACTCAGGTACTTGAAATTCTTCATTGTCATTGGTAGATAATTCTAGTTTATAAGGACAACGTATTTTAAGCAGTTTCTCAGCTGTAACAACTTTCTTTATTGTGGTTTTGTAATGTTGCTGTGGATTCATTAAAGAATAGTCAATTAGAAAATTTTTTAAATGTTTATTTGAGGCAGTTTTGTATGTGTGTATTTTGTGGTGTTTCTTGACCAACCAATAAAATATATTCTTAGTCTATTTTTCTTTTCAGAATTATAATTTCTGATAACCATTTTCAAAACAATATTTAAGTAATGGGAAGATTTAAATTTTTCATTAAATATCATTTTGAAGGAAAATTTCAGTTCTTAGCACGACAAAACACAGTTTTGGTATTTTATTAACATGTATGATTTGGCTTAGTTTTACTTTCCTGTTTCATGATTAGAGTCACTTGGAAGAGAAACATGTAGTGTATTTCAGATGTAGTTCCCGAGACTGATTAATCCATTGGTTAATAGTTCATTAATTTGTTACTGTTTTGTGTCTTAATTTTTAAATATCCTTTTTTGATATTTGCTGTTAGTTTTTTCCATTGTTTGGCTTTCATAATAAATGTATTATAGTATTTTTGTTACCCTGTGATCCTCAGAATTATTTCTTTTATTTTTATTAGCATTATTTGTTACTGAACTGCTGCTAAACAGAACAGTTGTTTTTCAATTTTGATAAAAATAAAAGATTGGGTTTTTCCCTTTTTTTCCCCACAAAATGTTTTTATCTGAATTTTAGGTATTTCTGTTTTATACTTTTATTTTTAATCCCAAATCTAGCCTTCTTGACAAGATATTATTTAAATTCAGCCAGTTCTAGCATTTAAAAAAATAATTTATAGATGTCCTAATTTTCCTGAGTTTTTAAATATTTTCCAGAATCAAAAATTGCTTAAGGCATTAAAAGATAAGGATTGCATTTAAAATTGAAGTATTAATTTAATGCTATTGGATATAAATAGCATCACATTTAAATTTAAAGATAATTTGACAGAATACTTCTATTTGTTACTCATTTGATATTATGTACTAAGTTTTTAGCTTCATATTACACATTTAAAGTAGATAAATTACATGTGGAAATTTTTTTAATTGGAGTTTTTTTGTAAAAGAAAAAAGTTTATGGGCTAAAAATCTTCTTTGTTAATAGGGTCTGATTGCAAACATATGGTGATGATTAGGTATGTGGAACTTGGGAGTCTGGAGCTTTTTATAAGCAAAATATAATTTCATTTCTTGATTAAATTTTAGATACTTTCTTATTTTCCAGGAGAATGGATAGGAAAGATAATATGAATTTATGAATTCATGGCAAATCTGGCTAAAACTTTTCTGAGAATTTTGATAATTGAGCAGTTAAATCTAAACTAGGAGCTGAAGATCATTACATGTGTCATTAATTTTTTTCCTTAGATACATTATAAGTTCACTTTTAATCAAAACACTAATTTTGTCTTCTCTTCCCATCCTACTTTTTAAGAAAAAAAAAAAAATTCTTAAATAATTGTACCATATAGTGATGTAAGCAGACCTGCTAGGTAGGTTGGGCCTAAACCATTTTTGTCTTCTGTGTTAGTTGCATATGCTTTTCTTAGCTTGCTGCTTCAGCAGCAGCAGCAGCAACAATGAATAAACAAGTATCACCACAGCCCTTGTTCTTGTCCCTTACAGCTGGGAGCAGGGGCTGGGAGATTGCTGCTGCATGTCAGCTGTTGTACAGAATAGCATCAATATGCAATAATGGTGGCCAAAGGAGCCTACACCCACCAGCTTTTACAGACCAGGTAGGAAGGGCCCAACTATCATAACCCATATATAGCATAATAAATACTTTTTTTGACAAAAGGTACTTTTTTTTCCCAAAGCTGCAGAAAGAGAACAGTAGTTGCTTACAGTTCTTAGACTTACATTTTTCTATTATTTACTCTGTGGCTTTAGTTATTTAATTTTTGTTCTGTTAATTTCACGTATGAATGGAAAACTGTCTTGTTTCTGGAAGTATGCATGGTATGTTTCATGTTTTTCACTTTTAAGCTGGTAGATTGGAAAAAAACTATTAATAAGTTGCTGATAACACAAGTTATGTATTGTATTAAGGAAAGAGAAGTTGATTATGGCCACATTGGAGTGTTTCTTTCACTTTGGGGCCATATTCTGAGCCCATGTTATCTTTGTTTATAGCCCAAACAAACAAGGCCAAATTCTTGCTGATTTCACTATAACTAAAAAGAATACCCCATACTACTTAGTGTTGTATTTAACTAAAGACAGAGCAGGCTGCAGGTGGAAACTCATTAAGTCTTTACTTTTTCTTACTGTTAAAATGTTTTATATCTGAAAGTTCAGATTATTCTAAATCTTTTGGAATTAGGTCTTTGTAATATCAAATGATACAGAACGGTGTTTTTTATTTTTACAAATTAAATTTGCACAGCTTTGCATAACCTAAATATCTGCATTTTTCTCACCTTTTGTATCTAAATAATTCCAGTAGGTTATAGTTACAAGGAAGTGAATGTTAGATTTCTATTAATGTTCAGATTTCATCTGTAGTTAATGAAGTGTAGGTAGAAAACTACAAATGACATTTTATTTTGTATAAGCCTAATATCCCAATTTAAAGTCTTGACATTTGCGGTAGCATTCTTTTTAAAAGGTAATCATAGTTTTTCCCTGGTCATCTTCATTAAAATTACAACTAATCACTCCTCTTAATGTTTTCCCTTACCAATCACAGTAAACTCAGAATATAAATTTCCTGCTAATACTGTTGAAACAAGCTTTGTTGTAGTATGTGTTAGTTTTGTCTGAAATAATAAATGAGCTGAAAACCTGATCTAATGTGAAATTAAATGTATACAACCATAAATTGAAATTACTTTTTTTTTTTTTACTAATACTAGAATGTTGTCTTTAATGTGTTTGATGTAATTTAACAGATAACATTTTAGTTACCTGCTCTTAATCAAAAAGTGAGTTACATAATCCTTTATATTGAAAATATCTTGTTTTTGCTATGAATTACGACATAAACTGTCTATGGACCACCTGTACCGGAATAACTTAGAATAAAGCATTTTTCCAGACCTGCAGAATCAGAATCTCTGGAGCTGGGACTCAGAAATTTGTACTTTTTACAAGCTCCACATGAGTTCTTTTAGAAGCACCACATGTGAGGAGTACTGCCCAAAATGAAATGGGGGAGGATTCTTCACATCAATAAACCATTTATATTTTCTGTTTCTCCCCGCCCCCAGCCCCTTTGGTCGTCATGGATCCAAGCTCAGTAACTACTTCTGAATCTTATCATCTCTACCACAGTAGTTCTAGATTAAGTCTTGTTATTTCCTCAATCATGTGAAGAAAATCAGTATTATGAGAGCTTTATTTTTGTTCAAGTATCTTGGGGCAAATTTTAGTCTCTGGTACATTTAGTATACCTATGTTAGACCTACACTTGATAAAAACAGAAGGATTTGGTCATTTAAGAATTTTAAAATTTTTCCTCTGGATAGTGGCTGTTTTTCTTAAATATACTTCCAAACATTGGAGAAAATAAAGAAGAACTTCTTATATGCTGCTTATGGGAGCATTTGACAATGTCATAGTATAGTTGAAGATATACATAGGCTTGAACCCAACAATTCCGTTCCTAGATGTTCTAGGTAAACTGAGACATGTATGAAAAAGTCTTATAGTTACTTTTATTTTTAATAGGAAAAAATCAAAAGTACTATAAATGTTAAGCAACAGGAGAATGGCAAATTGTGTCATAGTCATATGATGAACTGTTTATTATACTGCTGTTTAAGTGAGAGCTCTGTGTGATCATAGATGAATGTCTTCGGCGAACAAAAACAAGTTGCAAAAGGTTGTATATTATATAATATTTATATAAGATATATAGCATTTATGTAAAGCTAGAAAGCAATGATATGGTTTTAAGTACTTGATTTTATAGTAGTAGTAGTAGTGTAAAAGCATGTATAGGAAATAAATGCCAAATTCAAGATTGTAATTTTATATTAGGAGAGAAAGGAATGGGATCAGGGTATGGTACGAAAAGGATTCAACTATATGCATAGGCTTTTTCTTTAAAAAAAAAAATAAATAAATAAAGCAAAATAAGCCTGGCAGAATATTAGAATTCCATGAGAAGGCCAGGGATTTGAAATTTTCCTGTAGATTTGAAATATTTTTTCAAATATATCAAAAAATGTGCTGTCTTTATTTTGGTGAAGATCTTCTACAATAAGATGTATACTTAGGATGCTCCTAAAAGCATGGATGACTTTATTCTATTTGTTCTATATCTTACAGTAACTAATAGAAATAGTACTTCCTACTCTTGTAAATAAAGAACAGCCTTGGAGGCAATTTTTCTTATCACTGCTCTTCCATTTACCCTTGAATTCAGACAGTTTCACAATAGTATTTTCTTTTGTTATGGCTATCGATCATAACGTTATTTTCAGAATTTGTTTATGCATTTGAAACTCCAACTTAAGCTTTGTATTATACTGTTTTACAGTAGAATTCTTGGAATTAAGCAATATATGGATTTTTACATTTTGCATTTGTATACATGTTACATGTGTGTATGTGTGTGAGAGAAAGATTGGTCAATCTTGAGGTATGATCTTGAATTTATCTTAAAATATCTGCACTTAGATGATGTCCTCTAGAAGCTGAGTGTGCTCCAAGTTAGACATGAAGTGTGAGTTTTAGTTGCACTTAGATATTTGACTTTTAAACTTTGAGAAGGTAATAGTAATAGAAAAGTGAATTTTAAAAACTAATGATAACACTTTGGACTGAAATAGGTAAATGCTGCTTGGTGTTCATAATCTGTGATTGTGCTGTATAAGGAGCAGAAAGCTGTGATTATCAACTTTAGCTGAAAATTTTATTAACTTCTATAATGTGATCAATTTTTTAAAGTCTTCACTCTTATTTTTTTTCCTAGGTTTAATAAAGATAAAATGAAGACCATAATAAAATAGTCCCCTACTTAGCCCAGCAATTCTTACCTTGTAAGTATCAACTCTCAGTTAATATTTAGTATTAACCTCTGCCATTGCTATAAAAACTTAGTGTTTCGCTACAGGTGTTGCTTTATTTCTGAATGACAAGTTTCTTATCTCCCCTTACCCCCTACACATTGAAGGTTGGTATTAATTTAATCCAGTTTAGAACAAGAATAATGCCATTGCTTTGAATAAGTTTTCTATTTTGGAAAGTATTTTACAGCAAGGCTCTATTTTCTAAATCTGAGAATCACAATTTTAAACACTTGTCCTCCAAAGGAATTGATAAATAAGTAATTATCTTTATTATTATTAGTCAAGTTTATTTTTTTTTATTTTTTTAAATGTTTACATATTTATTTTGAGAGAGAGAAAGAAAGAGACAAGCAGGCTCCACGCTGTCAGTGCAGAGTACAGTCTAGGGCTCAATTTCACCAACTGTGAGATCATGACCTGAGCTGAAATGAAGAGTTGAGTGCTTCACTGACTGAGCCACCCAGGTGCCCCCCATTAGTCAGGTTTATTGATAGTTATTTTATGGTTTTATAAACTGGAAGGATTCTCTCCACTTGAGAGAGAGTTTTTTCATTTATTTGTTTTTATATTTCACTAAATTACCCTGCACACTTTTCTGTGAGATACTTAAAATTTAGCTGTTAAACTTCAGAAAGTGGGAAAGACAGGAAGGCAATCCTTTTTCCTTCCTTTTATACCTACATACATGCACACCTCTTTCTTAGAATAAACATTTGGACCCTGATTCATTTAACTTTTGAGAAACTTACAAATTCTAAGGAAAAAATTTTAACAGGTTAGCTAAAATTAATGTCATACCCCTAGAAAAACTCAAATCAAGGTCATGGTAAATACACAAGATAACTATTTTCCTAAAAATATTTGAGACCCTGGGGTGCCTGAGTGACTCAGTCAGTTAAGCATCTGACTTGGGTTCAGGTCATGGTTTTACAGGTTTGTGAGTTCCAGCTCTGCGTTGGGCTCTGTGCTGACAGCTCAGAGCCTGGAGCCTGCTTCACATTCTGTGTCTCCCGTTTTCTGCCCCTCCCCAACTTGTGCTTGAGCTCTCGCACACATGCGCACTCTCTCTCAAAAATAAATAAAACATCAGGCTCTGGGCTGATGGCTCAGAGCCTGGAGCCTGTTTCCGATTCTGTGTCTCCCTCTCTCTCTGCCCCTCCCCCGTTCATGCTCTGTCTCTCTCTGTCCCCAAAATAAATAAACGTTGAAAAAAAAA